TTTTTGGAACACTGACAGAGAATTGGGAATTAAGAGTGGGGAAGACATGCAGGTACGGTGTATTGTTAGGCAAGAGACAAATTCAGGAAAATATTGCTGCCACAGATTCAGAAATACATGTGGGTTTGTTTTTGTTTTTCCTTTTCTCCAGGGGAAGGGTTGGATAAATTAAAATTAAAAAAAAAAAAAATTAAATGTATCATCTGTCTTCCAAACTTTGAACTTACAATATTCCTGGGAGAAAAATACTTGGTGGGCGTCATTAAATATTAATCATTAGAGATCAGTTTAGCAAAGAGATTTAGTCAGGTTGGAACTGCTTTTAAGAAACCAATTACAATGTGGGTTATGAAAGAGAAGTGGAAGAAACCCAGGGAAAATATTAGAAAATGCAAGTCCCTTCACCCAGTGGAATTTTTTCAGGGAATTCTGGCTAACTAGCTTGTTGAGACTTAAGACAGCAATAAAAATAGGTCCTTGTGCTAAGAATATAAGAATTGGTAAAAAGCAAAAGCTAGGATTCCTAAAATTACAAGGAATCTTCCTTTTTAACCAGAATTTCCATTTAAATGTTTAAGTATTTGATTGAAAAATAGGTAAGGATTAGAAAGAAGCATTCATCATAGGTTACCTTGTAGAAGTTAATTGTATAGAAATTCCACAAATTAAATATCAATATAAAATTGGAGAATATGGAAGATTGTTTTTGTTATTTTTTCATATTTGGTATGTTGATTGTTCAAAGGGATTGTGAGATATTTTTCTTTGGGGGTGTTCTCTTAGGGTTCACTTCATTAGTTAAATTTCAAGGTAATAGGAGGGATTCTGACAGTCTTTTGAAGACCTAGAAAATGTTGCAACTTAAAGATGTATTAGAGTTAAGCTTCCTCATTTTCTATATATGAAAAGAAGGAATATGAGTGGTTGAAAAAGTCAACAATTTTAAAGGAAAGGGGTATTAGTCATAAATTGTACATACCTATTAACAGGGTGTCAAAATATATGACGTAAAAATTGATAGAATTATAAGGAAAAAATAGATCCATGATTATAGTAGCTGAAGACTTCAACATCCCTCAGTAATGGATAAAACAGTAGGCAGAAAATCAGGAAAGATATTGAAAACTTGAGCAACACTCTCAGGCAACTAGATTTAACTAACATTTATAGTACACCTAACAACAGCTAATTACATGTAATTTTCAAGTACACATCTGACATTCTCCAATATCGACTATATTCTGGGCAATAAAACAATTCTCAATAAATTTAAGATGATTGGAATTATGTGAAGTATGGTCATCTAACCACAATGGAAAGAAGCTAGAAATCAATAACAGAAAGATATTTGGAAAATTCCTAGATGGAAAATACACAACATATTTCTAAATAACCATTGGGGGATCAAAAGGAAAATTAGAAAATATTTTAACTATATAAAAATAAAAGCACAATTTATCAAGATTTGTGGGATTCAGTTAAAATAGTGCTTGGAGAGAAAATTATAACATTAAATGTGTATGTTACAAAAGAGGAAAGGTCTCAAATCAATAATCCATATTTCCACTTTATGAAACTAGAAAACAAATAAAACAAACCTAAATTAAGTAAAAGGAAGGGAATAATAAAGAGCACAAATCAATGAAATAGTGGAAAAATGAGTGAGGGGCATGAAAATGAAAGAGCAATAAAATTTAAAAGCCTCTACCCATCTCGATTAGGAAAAAGAAAAGGTACAAATGCCAATATTAAGACTGAAAGAGGGATATTACTAGAACTCCCATAGGCACTAAGAGGGTTTTTAAGAAATATTATGAATATTAGATTACTGGCAATAAATTTGACAAGTTAGATTAAATGGGTATTAAAAACAGCCCTAAAATGTGTCACCTCATAATTCTACTTCTAGAAATCTATGTTAATAAATTTAAAATGTGGACAAATTCGGGGCGCCTGGGTGGCTTCGTCGGTTGAGCGTCCGACTTTCACTGAGGTCGTGATCTCGCGGTTCGTGGGTTCGAGCCCCGCGTCGGGCTCTGTGCTGACTGCCAGCTCAGAGCCTGAAGCCTGTTTCAGTCTGTGACTCCCTCTCTCTCTGACCCTCCCCTGCTCACGCTGTCTCTCTCTCTCTCCTAGAAATAAATAAAATATTAAAAAAAAATTAAAATGTGGACTAATTTTATTCACCAAGATGTTTGTCAAACTATAATAGGGGAAAAAAGCCTGAAATCAGCCTTACATTTCCAACAATGGGAGATTAGTCAAATAGACTATGGTAATGGTAACGACAATAGTAGAGGAATTCCCATATCTAATGGTACATGAAAAACTAGGAGACAAAATTGTCAACAAATGATGATCTCAATATAAAAAGATATTTGTAAAGAAGAACCAGAAAACATACCCTTAAAATTAGGCTAATAGGCTATTTTTAAATTTATTGCATTATTTTCTTCTCATTTTCTTCTGTATTTTCCAAATTTGCTAGGAATGAAATATGTCAGTGCCATATTTTAATTGTCATATGCCAGTAAGCTGATTTATTTATAACTGAAAATATAAATTCTCTTTTTTTTTTTGTAAATAGAAAAAATATAACTCACACTTTTATACCAGTTGATTTTGTTTTAGAAATTTAAAACAGTGCCTTTTGGGAAGAATGAATAGGATCTGAATGTCTTTGGGTGCTTTATCCTTCATCTGAGAGTCTCATTTTGAGGCTGTCTTTGCACTGTGTTTCATCCTGTTCTCTGACTGTCTTTTTCAGCCCAGGTATCTATCAGTGGGCAAAAAGTACATGTTTGCTTCCCTCATTTTTTCTTTTTCTTATTGGCCCATAATGATCAAAGCCTCTGTTAGTGGGAAGCCATTTATTATGCCTTTCTCTTTCATGCTTCATTTCATATAGCAGCCATAATTAAATGGAGATTTCTAGCACTGGTTGAGAACATAACTCTCCTTTTCATTTGTGCACCTTCCGGTTCTACCCAGGCCTTAAGTATTTCATGTCTGCACTGTGATAAGCTAGCTCTGTTGTCCTGTGTCAGCTCATTTAAAGTAGCTCTTGAAATACACTGGGGGCACAATGTATGTCCTTTTCTTTCCAGAGATCCTATAGTGAATGACTTCTAGTTTCTTATGAAATACCCATAATTAGTAAAAATTATAAGTCGCTTGGTTAAAAACATCACGGCCTTAATCTGAAATAGACCTAAACTGCCTTTTGGTACACAAAGGCTAATTTTCTTGAACAATCTAAGGATTATGTCCATGCTTTTAGCTCAGAATAAATGGGCCTTTTATAATTCTATATAAAATCATTCGTTTGGGCCTTTCTTTTGTATTTGCCTGCATACATATGTGACAAATAAAATGTTAACTTGTACTTGATACAGAGAATGACAACTAATTCATCAAATAGTCCTGTGTCATGAGGCCCTGTTCTGTGATGCCATGTTTTGAGGGATATATGCGGACCACCTAGACTCTGGCAGCATTGGTGATCCCTTCTCCCTTGATCCCACAGCTATCCTCAATTACAGTTTTTTCACTGGTTTTCCCACTTTAATACCAGTCTGTTCTCCACATAGAGACCAGAGTATCTTTGAGAAATATACATCTGAATTTCCTTACAACTGCTGATTGCCTTGTGATGGCACTTAAGAAAAAGAAATCCCAGAGCCAGATCCCACCTCTGGATCTCATTGTATTCACCCCTACCCCCAGATCATTGGGCAGAAGTCATGGGCCTTCCTACAATTCTTCAAACACACTAAATGCTTTCATGTCTTCACCTTCACACAAGTCTGGAACATCAGTCCCTAACTGCCATCTCCTGCTCCCCCTTACCTCCCACTTCCTCATCCTCCACCCATAAGTTTTTGCCTGGTCAATTCATACTCAGCATTCAAATATTGCATTAAATATCACCTCCCAGAGGGGCCTCCCCTGGACCTCTAATCTAAATTTAATGATTTCCTATTCTTCTTATAGTACTCATCATAATTTTTCATTACGGTTTATTTTGTATAGTTTATTTGGTGCCTTTCTCTTCTGCAAGCCTGAAGATTTCATAACTGTATACTTCAATATTTTGTTTGCTCTTTCACCAGCACACACTAAGTACCCAATAAATTATTGTTGAATGAATGAATGAGTGGGGAAAAAAAGAAAAAGTATCGTGTAAGTGGTTAGAACACATTCAAGAGAAAAAAAATTGCAATTTCACTATTACAGAAAAATACATTAAAGCATCTGTTTTTAATCTAATAAATTACTTGAAGTTAAAATTAATTCCCATTTTAGCTAAGATTCGAGTACAAGGACACATTCATACAATCCATGAGGAGAGGGCCTTATTCTGTATTCATGTAGTTTATGTGTTAAATATTTGTTGAATGAGTAAAAGGATTCGTATAACCATTATGGAATGCAGTGTAGCTAAGTGTATTTAAAAACATCAAATTGTTTTTATTGACCCAGTATTTCCACCTAAGAATTTGTCATAAGGAATAGTCCTAAATATAGAAAAGGTTATATATTTAAAGACACTCTCACAGTGTTATTTATAGGAGTAAAACATTGGAAACCACCTAAGTGCCGAATAAAGCAATCGCGGAGGAAAGCATAGTTTATCCACTCCATAGTAAATGAGTAACACATAAGCTAAAGGTTAGGATAACATAGTGACTTCAAAAGTGTTTAGAGTATTAATGTAAATAAATGAAGAACACAGTTTTAGAACAACATTTATAAATCCCATCCACAGGAAAAAAAGACTGGAAAGAAATATGTCATGCTGTTATAGCCATGGGTGACTTCCTTCTCTCTCTCTTTTAATTTTTTCATATTTTCTTTAACGTACTCCTATTTTTTCTTACAATTAAATTGTTGTATAACATAGCTTGTATATTGAGGTTCACTTTCATTTTCAGTACAGTTAAACGAATCCCAGTCCTTACATTTTGTAATCATTGAACTGAAGCACTTTGTTGTTTTAGGATGACGAAATCTTTGCTGAGAGCTCCCATGCTCATGGGTTAGACCACTCACCATCTTGGCCTGATCACAGCCACTTCCTGTCTAGTCCGCGATTTTCACACTTCAATTGTAAGTAATCAAGTCCCATACTAGTTTTTAAATTGGATGTAAGGAAAGGCAACTCATGAAGAGATTAAAATGTAAGGCAAGTACATGATAGTAATATTCATGTTAAGAGTTTGAAGAAATTGTTGTTAAGAATCATACATGTAACATGCCCCCCGATACATTTATATTACCCAGTTTACTAAAATTTGTACAGAATCCCTTCTTCTTAGACCTTACACTTCTCTGAAAACTTACAATGAATCACCAAAAGTAATGATTTTACTTAAGGACATTTTTGTATGGAGGTTGCTGGAAACTGTGGAAGAGCAGGTAAAGGAAGTTAGATGATATTATAAAATTGAAGTCATCAAAAAATAGAAAATCTTTTCATAGAACTCTTCAGAAATATATAATCTTGTGTAAAGAATGAGGATACTGATTTGGTTACTGGCTAGATTTCACTCTGTGAATATCCTTTAAATGTGGATAAAATGTTACCAGTGTCCACAAGGTGTGAATCTGTTGACACAGGATGCCATCCCCACCATTTATCCCTCTTCTTACTATACTTATTCAGGTCTTGGGTTGTGTGTCATGTCCTTAAAGAAGCCTTTGGAATCTGCAAGTTTAAGTATCGTGTCTATTATAAGTGCTCATAATACACTAAAATTTTTTTTATCTGAGTAACTTTTTGTTTAGTGATTCATCTCTTCATCAAAGTGTGAATGCCATGATAGGAGTGATGTCTGTTTTGTTCACCACTGTTTCCTCCACGCCCTACATAGAACTTGGAACATAGTAAATGCTCAATTAATATTAGATGAATGAGTATATGACTCCTTTTTTAAGTCCACTTTTATCCAAACCATTGGATCTCAAATGTTATTTCATGGATTCTTATGTAGATAATCATTTAGGTCCTCAATTTACCATGGGCATAGAGTTTGTATATCAAATCTGACAGCTCTGTCATTTAAAAAATGCAGGTTGCTACAAAATACAATACCAAAATAAGCCACAAAGAAGTAGGTCAGATCCAAAAGTGATAACTCTCATTTTTGCTGATTTATATTCATGGATTCATTGAATAAATATTTATCAGCTTCTGATAAATGGTTTGGTTTTCATTATATCATGATTATTTTATTCCAGAGGCTGAGCACCTTCTCTTTCCTGTCCTAACCATTTTACCAAGTGATTTTATATATCTGCATAAAATCCCTGCTATTCTAATCTGGCAGCTGCCCTTCAGTATGGATTGTATCTCCGGGCGCCTGGGTGGCTCAGTTGGTGAAGTGTCTTTGGCTCAGGTCATGATCTAATGGTTTGTGGCTTCCACCCCTGCATCAGGCTCTGTGCTGACAGCTCAGAGCCTGGAGCCTGCTTCAGATTCTGTGCCTCCCTCTCTCCCTGCCCCTCCCCCGCTCATACCCTGTCTTTCTCCGTCTCTCACTCTCTCAAAAATAAATAATAAACATTAAAAAAATTTTAATTAAAAAATATGGATTGTATCTCAAGCTGATTATGGGACCTCAGAATCTGATATACACATAGGCCAAATTTTTTGTGTTTCATATAAAGAAATGGAAAATTTTTCTCAGGTCTATTTTATGAATGTAAACATGGAGGAAGAGAGTGGGGACAAAGCACCATCAATCGTAGTATCCCGCCCATTAAGACACTTGGGAGCCTGGAGATAAATCAGCACCAGGATATGAGCATAGAGGTCATTATTCTACTGCTATTTAATTTTGCCATGCCGACTTTCCTAAGGCTCCATAGAAAGGCACCTAGACAGTAGTGGTTGGGAGACTCTGGGGGAAAATGTCAAAACTTTTAGATTTTATTTAATATATGACAGGCAGTGAAAGAAACTACATCCAGCTCTTTACTCAGCAGCATTTCAAGACCAGCAGTGGTCATTTCTCTAAGATATGTTCCTCACAGGAAGCCATAGGTTTCTCTATAAATATACTGCTTCAAAAGGAAATAAAGTTAAATAAGAATAGGAAAAAATATCATTGAATACATAACTTGGATGTGGAAATACATATTACAGTCTATACTGTAAAATCTGAAAAATTTAGCTTAAAAAGTAAACCACTTCATTAACTTACTGTTAACTTATTTAATTTGTTAATTCATAGCTTTGTGCTTTACTATTCCTCTTTTCAACAAGTCTGTTTTATGATTTTCCTCTATTCTACCTCTATACTTTCAATAATACTTTAAAAATTTTAATCATAAGTGCCTTATTGTTAATAACTCTCAGTGGTTGAATTGAACTTACTTCTAGAAATCATAGTTCTTTGTATTTACTTTTCTGATGGACCTTGAAATTTCTATGTGTTTTTCACAATGTGGTATTTTAGAAGTGGATCAGGATTACCCTGAATGCCTCTCCATTTTTGTAGCACAATTTCAGCTTAGTTATAGAAACTGTCCTGTAATTTTTCTTTAACCTCCTTTCAAACCTCCAAAAGAGATCTCAACCAACAAAGAGAAATAGAGCCTACAATAAATTGATCATACAGAGAACAGAATGTGCCTTTTAAAATAGCGTTAATGCCCTCAGAGATAGAAATATTACATCTGTTAAAAAAAAAAAAAAAAAGAGCAAGATGCTGTGAAAAAGGAACACAATATAAGAGGTCTCAGAATGTTAAAATATGGGGGCACCTGGGTGGCTCATTAGTTGCGAGTCTAACTCTTTATGTCAACTAGATCATGATGCCAGGGTTGTAGGATCGAGCCCCATGTTGGGCTTTGCACTGGGCATGGAGCCTGCTTGAGATTCTTTCTGTCTCCCTCTGCCCCTTTACCCCACTTGTGCACTCTCTCTCTAAAATAAATATGAAAAACTAGAAAGGCAGGAAACAAAGTTGAGGAAACCACAAAGAAAATAGTAGAAAAAGGATGGGACAGTAGGAGAGAAAAGATACTTAGGAACTCCATTCACGAGGAAAAGTACCTGATCAGGGACAGTCTTGAGAGGAGAGTACAAGGGCCAGGAGTGGGCAGGTGACAAGGGCCCACCCAGCTGTCATCTGGAGATTTTTCTTCACCCTCTTCCTGTGCTGATGCCCAAGTTTCTCAGAACACATGCCTTCCTCTGTTTGTCTCACTCCTTTCTCTTGTGGTTAGCACATCAAGGAAAGAAAAGGGAGGTAAATACTTTCAGTCTTTGTACTTCAGAAAATAGATTTCTTTTATTCACACTTGACGAGACTTTGGCTAGCTATAAAATTCTAGGTTGAAAGTGACTTTCCTTCTGAAGTCATTGCAGTCTTCTCTTCCAAATCTAATGTTGCTGTTGAAAAACCTTAGGTCTTTTTGTTTTGGCCCCACTCCTCAGAAGTGATCTTCTTCCCCATCACTACCACCCAACCCTCAGCCCTGGGACCCTTTAGGATCCTCTGTTTATCCCCAGTGAGTTTTGTGATGATTTGCCTCCCTGCAGGTCTTATTTATTTGCTTTTCTAGCTATTTGATGGGTGGGCCCCTTCAATCTGGACTCATGCTTAGTTCTCTCAGACTGCTATAGAAGAAAGGAAAGATTCCACTGGGAAAATCTTTAGGAAATAAACTGTCAGGTTATTTGATTCAGTTGATTTGATTCAGTTGAGCACTTAGAAGAAAAACTATTGAAAGACATATGGCAAATCTCATTGAGCAGTTAGAAATATTTAAGGATAGTCACAGAAGAAGAGCAAATAAAAAAACAAAAATAAAAACATGGGTCAGTTAATAACTCTGGGGGGGAGGGGGAAATGGGCAAGAAAAGAAACACTGTCATAGTATCCTTATTAGGCTTGTGTGAGCCATATTTACATAGTCATAATGTTATAAATACGACTGACACAACTAGAAGTTCCCATGTAACTCTATAAGGGGGATGGGGTGAGGGAAAGTGGATGGGTGTGGATTAGTCTAAAAATGATAAATCAGAAAATAGCAATATAAGCTTCTTTTTTCTTACAAAAATTGAAGTCAATACAGAAAATAAAGCTAACAGAGTTGACTGCGGTTGACTCTGGCGTGCAGGATTGTGGGATTGGGAGGGAGGAGGGAAGAGGCTGCTGTCTCTCTGTGTGGCCCTTTGGTGCTGTTTGATAGGTGTATGTACACTTTGGCTAAAAAGGCATCTTGTAAAAATAAAATGCTACTGAGAACACCCCAGCTTTTATGTCTGACTAGCAAGTATTCGATTTCCTTGTTAACTTCTGAACAGAACATGAAAGCTAGGGGTTGGAGTTTAGAGCAGTTTAGACCTGTATAGAGATGTAAGGAGTAAATAACTGTCGGAGCTGAGGCAGACATGAGTTTATGAGCCCACAGAACAGGCTCCTTCTTACTCAAGTTGGGATTTGTACTTGACGAGGCCGTTTTGTCTATGCCATAGATGCTAAGGCATTCATTCTGCTGACTTAGGTGCCCTGTCAAACTGTGACCAAACTGAAGCGTAGAATCACTGACCATGGAAAAAACAAAGGAAATGGGAAAATACTGCATAATTTGTGGTCTCTGAAATGGTCCAGCATTAATGAAAGTTTGTTTTAAGTAGTAATTTATGTCAGCTTTGTGTAGTTCAGGTCAATTCAAGAAAAGGTAGATTCCTTCTGCCAGGAAGAAGGGAAGAAATGTATAAATTGTAAGTTTATATTACCATTGGAAATAGGAACACAGAAATCCATTATTTAGAGCCATGATTACTACCAAATTTATCCTGGCTGGCTAGAAGCGATGGCCGTGATTCAGGACACTCTTTTAGAAGGCTTGGATTCCATTACCTTCAGCCTCTAAGACAGTGGGGGCTTAGAAAGAGAGACTTAATAATGCCAGCTTTTGAAACTGTCATTTTTACTTTTTATAAGTAGTGACTGACCACTAGTCTCCATGTATAGCTCCTTTTAGGCTAAAGGAACACAAATCCGAAGCAGGGCCCTCTCTCTTGGGGCCAGGACCAGACTGGATTTGAGGGAGGGCTGTGGTAAGCTGATGATTTCTCGAAATCTCGAGTC